ACTGTTGTGCGGCCCGCCATTGACTTCAAATTGAAGGAAGACAAAGAAGCAGAAGAAATCCTCGCAGAGAGAACTAGAAAGGTGGGGAGACCTGTTCGAAGAGTTCAGGAGTTCCTCGTCAAATGGAAAGACTTACCTGATGCAGAGACCAAATGGGAATGAGAAGAAGACCTTGAAGCCTGGAAGACGAAGATCGAGGACTTCAAGCTGCAGCAGTTGACAGGGACGTCAACTGTTTAAGTGGGGAGAATGTTGTGGGCATGCTTGTCCAGGGTGTGTTACCCATGGCCGCATGTCCAAACCATCCTCACCACTCTCTTTTCTTTCATGTCTTTAAAGCTTTCTAGTATAATTTTCTTGTATCGGGTTTTTGGGGTTGTAGGTGGAATTTGGCCGAGCGGCTTTGGAACTAGGTGTGTATTAGTAAGATATGTAAGCACGCCAAATTTCAAGCCAATCGGAGTTCACACGGGCCCTGTAGGCCACTGAGTGACTCCTCACTACTTAGGACGTCTACACCTGCCACACCAAAAATGCCTTATAATGTACCTTAGGGGGGACCAAGTAGTCATCAAACCTCCCCCCGACCAAGTGTTGTATACTTTCTTGCAATCAAAGCTTTCTTGTATCCAATGTCTACAATGCTTGTTTTAAAGATGTTTTCAACTGTTTTTCTCTCTCACGTTTTCTAAAACCAATTTTCTCGTAAAATGTGAGCGGAGGCTAGACCCACGACCGAGATTGCCCGCAACTTACAGTTTTTCTCGGCTGACTTGCTCGTTTGAGCTAGAGCTAGTGCCACACAATCCTCGAGCTGCTTTGAAAAGGTGCGATTGTGACACTCGGCCTACTATTGGCAAGTGTTTTAGATGTGGCCTAGTGGGCCATTTATCCAACGATTGCCCTCAGCGGCGTGCCGTTGCCTTAGTGGATGAAGAAGGTCATTACGATCCTGATGAAGAGGTTATTGCTGATGATGACACGACCTATGTTGAACCCGATGAAGGGGACCCTGTTAACTGTGTCATCCAACGCGTCCTTCTTGCTCCAAAGGTTGATGTTATTAATCAACGCCACTCCCTTTTTCGCACTCGCTGCACAATCAATGGTAAAATCTGCAATGTTATCATGGATCACTGCCCTTAATTTGAAAACCGATCCTCACCCACAGCCTTACAAGGTTTCGTGGATCCGCAAAGGAGGCGAGGTCCAGGTTCAATCAGTTTGTACGGTCCCGCTCTATATTGGGAACCAATATAAAGACCAAGTTATATGTGACATCTTGGATATGGATGCGTGCCACATCTTGCTAGGCCGACCTTGGCAGTATGATCTCCAAGCTATACATCGGGGCCGTGAAAACACGTATGAATTTAGTTTGATGGGAAGAAAGATCGTTCTTTTACCAACGGTCTTAGATAATAAACAGAGAAAGGATAATCCTTCTCCACCCAAGCAACTTTTCTCCTTAATCCCGGGTAAATCATTCCTACAGAAGGATGAATCCCTTCTCCTTGCCATCGTTGCTAAGGGAGATTCCATTACATCTCCTCCTCCTCCCACTCACCCTGGTATTTCCCAATTACTCCAAGAATTTCATGAAATAACAGAAGAACCTATAGGACTCCCACCTCTGCGCGATATTCAGCATTGTATAGACCTTATGCCCGGTTCATCCTTGCCTCATCTTCCCCACTACAGGATGAGTCCTGCTGAATATCAAATTCTGCACCAACAGATACAAGAACTTTTGAACAAAGGACATATTCGGCCAAGCATCAGTCCTTGTGTCGTTCCTGTTTTGCTTGCGCCAAAGAAGGACGGATCATGGCGCATGTGTGTAGACAGTTGGGCAATCAATAAGATAACCATCAAATACTGTTTCCCGATCCCTCGTCTATCTGATCTGTTAGATCAATTACATGGCGGACGTTGCTTCTCCAAAATAGATCTAAAGAACGGTTACCACCAAATTCGAATCCGGTCTGGAGACGAGTGGAAAACAGCATTCAAGACCAATACGGGCCTTTTTGAATGGCTGGTCATGCCCTTTGGACTATCCAACGCGCCAAGTACATTTATACGCCTTATGCACCAGGTTTTGCAACCTTTTCTTGACACCTTTATTGTTGTATACTTTGATGACATACTTGTTTATAGCAAAACCTGTGATGATCATATCTTGCACCTTTGCATTTTGTTTGAAACATTACATAAAAATAAGCTCTATGTCAACCTAGCTAAGTGCTCCTTCATGACAACCGAGATAGCTTTCTTAGGTTTTTATATAAACCAATTTGGCATATCTGTCGACCCATCTAAAATTTCTGCAATCCAAAATTGGCCTACCCCTACCTCTATTAGAGACATCCAATGCTTCTTAGGTCTTGCGTCATTCTATAGAAAGTTTATAAAACATTTTAGTAAATTGGCAGCACCCCTAACGGATTGTCTAAATAAAGGAAAATTTTTTTGGGATACACCTCAAGCCTCTAGTTTTGATGCCCTAAAGGACAAACTCAGTAACACCTGTTCTAGGTCTTCTTGACTTTTCTCGACCATTTGAGGTGGCCGTGGATGCTTCGAGGATAGGTATATGTGCGGTTCTTTCCCAAAATGGTCACCCATTAGAATATTTTAGTGAAAAACTCACACCGCCTAGCAAAAATGGTGCACCTACGAACAAGAACTCTATGCCTTAATAAGAGCCCTTGAACAATGGGAGCACTACCTAATCGGCCGTGAATTCATTCTCTTCACCGACCACTTTTCCCTTAAGTACATTCAAACTTAAAAAACCATTAATAGGATAACTCTATTATCCGGCCAAGTGATTGCTTTTGACAACCTCCCTACAGCATATGAGCATGACAGTGACTTGCACACCATGTGGCAACAATGCAACCAACATGTCAATTGTAATGACTTTCACCTCGTTGATGGTTACTTGTTTAAAGGAGACCGACTGTGCATTCCCCATACATCTTTACGGGAATCCTCGATTCGAGAGCTGCACAGTGGTGGATTGGCGGGCCATCTGGGACGTGATAAAACGTTTGACATAGTGGCTGCCCGGTTCTATTGGCCTCAACTAAGGAAAGATGTGTATAACTTTGTTATTAAATGTTTTATTTGCCAAACTTCTAAAGGGCAAGCACAGAATACGGGGCTATACTCTCCATTTCCCATCCCCAAATTTATTTGGGAGGATTTGTCGATGGACTTTGTTCTAGGATTGCCAAAGGCACAACGAGGTTATGATTCAGTTTTAGTCGTGGTCGACCGTTTTAGCAAAATGTCTCATTTTTTACCTTGCAAAAAGACTTCCGATGCCATCTATGTTGCCAATCTTTTTTTCCGAGAGATTGTGCGACTCCATGGTATACCAAAGACCATTGTCTCTGACAGAGATGTGAAATTCTTGAGTTATTTTTGGAAAACCTTGTGGAAGAAATTTGATACCGGGTTGAAGTACAGCACTACCAGCCATCCTCAAATAGATGGCCAAACTGAAGTTACTAACCGCACACTAGGGAATCTTATATGCTGTCTTTGTGGAACAAAACTGAAGCAATGGGACCTCACACTTGCTCAAGCCGAATTCGCCTATAACCACATGGGAGATCGTTCCACAGGGAAGTCCCCCTTTGAAGTTGTATACACTAAACTCCCTAGACTTACTGTAGACCTCGCTAATATTCCTTATAATGTTGACTTTAATTAGGAGGCTGAACACATGGCTGAAAGGATAGTAGAGCTGCATAAAGAGGTCACCGACAACTTGATAAATGCTATGGCAAGCTACAAGGAAAATGCAGATAGCCATTGCCGAGAAAAACACTTCAAAGTCGGAGATTTGGTGATGGTTTACCTACGGAAGTCCAGATTTCCTACCGGAACATATCATAAACTTCATAATAAGAAGATTGGACCATTTGAAATCTTACACAAATATGGCGATAATGCATACAAGGTCAATCTGCCAACTGATCTGTGCATAAATCCCATATTCAACGTTTCCGACATCTATGAGTATCAAGCGGCAGACACCTTCCATTTAGCTACATAAACTCGTGGTCGAGTTTCTTTTAAGGAGGAGGGAATATGATGTAGGTTTTTAGTATTGGTTAGCTGTTAGTCTGTTAGTTTCATGTTTAGCCTTTGGATAGATAGTTAGTTAGGTTGGTCTTCTATAAAAACCAACTCTTTTGTATTTTAAAGGATTCATTCTGACATTGAATAAAAGTTTCTCTGCTGTCTTTACATCAGTAAAGGTGGTTGATTGGCATGTTGCAAGATTAAACAAAATTTACTTGATCATGTCTCAGTTGAAATTTTCATTTCAGTTTAACTTTTTGGGTTGCAAAATATTGTAAACTTGTAATGGATTTCTTAATGCAAAGTGGTAGTAGTAGTTTGATACCGTCTGTGGCAATGTTTTTCCTGTGTAAACAATTCAGGATTATCCATCCATATAGGATGGAGAACTCCAGCCAAATTTTTTGTTGCTGGAGTTTGAAGGCCACCCTCTTACATGAATTTTTAATCCATCATGTGTTGATTGAATGGCCTTTTACTTTATCATCAGTCATCTTAGAATAATAAATTTCCCAGTTAATTACCTTTTACTCCATTTCCTTGAAATTCTTATATTTGTTTTTTTTTCTAACAAGAAACAACTTTTCATTGATAGATGAAAAGATACAAAGAAACAACTTATATTTGTATAATTGATGCTAATACTTCTTAATTATTTAATGGAATTATATTACATTAGGGCTCATTAGATCACATGCTATAGTGATTTTGTGAGCCTTAATTTTTGTTTCAGATTCTATCAGACTTATCTCTTAAGACTTGATAATCAAATTTCCAAAACTAGGTGACTGGAATATGGAATAATGTCAGAGCTCTCTTGGTCACTGTAAAGAATAAGAAGAGACCATATATTGGTCTGGAGTATTGTGGTTTTCTAACATTCGATCTTCATTTATATGCAGTCACAAAGGCCTACATGAAGATTGAGGGTGTAAAGGAGTTTGGTTTTCATGAAATGGCCCTAGCTACAAACAATTTTCATGATTCCATGGTAGTTGGTCAAGGCGGTTATGGAAAGGTTTACAAAGGAATTCTAGCAGATAACACAACTATCGCTATCAAACGTGCACTGGAGGGCTCCCTACAGGGTGAAAAAGAGTTCTTAACTGAAATACAATTGTTGTCAAGGTTACACCACCGAAATCTTGTGGCGTTGATTGGATATTGTGATGAAGAAGGGGAGCAGGTAATTTGTGGAATGATTTACTTATTTATCATTGTAAATTAAAACAAAAATATTCTCCAAAGACTGCTAATTATCACTAGCCCCAAAAGCTTAAGTTTTTAGGTAACGGTATATTTAATCTTTTATTCATATTCCTAAAGGGGGAAGTTTCTGTTGGTCTAATTACTATGGGACAGAACTTATAAGTTATCTGCTCCCACAACATTACCTTTTTGTCAACTTGACTTTGAAGTTTAGCCTTGAACAGACTTGGTTTTGTTTGCAGATGTTGGTTTATGAGTTTATGTCAAATGGCACGCTGAGGGATCACCTTTCTGGTACACTTCAGCCAATGTTCCTATTAATTAATTCTCAAAGATTCTGTTTCAATTATGCAAATTGTTGACAGCTTTAAAATGCTGGATGGTTTTTATTCTTTCATTTATTTGTCAACTGAAGATTACACATTTTTTGATTGGTGAGTTTTTGTTTGATGTCACTTTTTCAAGCGTTGCTTATGATGCATCCATGTGTTACTACAGTAAATTCTACCGAACCTTTAAGTTTTGCCACAAGATTAAAAGCTGCCCTGGGTGCTGCTAAGGGAATCCTATACCTACATACGGAAGCTGATCCTCCAATATTCCACCGGGATATCAAGTCCAGCAACATATTATTAGACTCCAAATTTATGGCAAAGGTTGCTGATTTTGGACTCTCACGACTTGCACCTCTACCTGATACCGAAGGTGATGTGCCTGCTCATGTATCGACAGTTGTAAAAGGGACACCGGTAAGATTGTTGAAATTTTGTGGAAATGCAATGTATGAACTTAATTGTTGCTGCTAATATCATCAAAAGTTTTATTAGATTTTATAAGGAAGATATCCTTTGTTATAATTATTAACTAGAGGTGCCTATGTTGGGAATATAGAGGTTTTACAGGATGTGAGGTATCTCCTCACTATTTGATTGCTTTCAATAAACGAAAAAGCCCTCAGGCAATACAGTAGTTAACCCACCAATTCGACAGGGAAGAACCCTTTCCAACTTACGAGAACCTCTTGCTCCCCAGTGGTAGTATTAGTTTGGACTGATCGCTCTAGATGCTGGGGTATCTCCGATTGCTTTCTTCAGCCGAGACACATGAAAGACAGGGTGTATCAGATCCCCTGTGGATAGTTCTAGACGATAAGCTACCTTGCCTACTCGTTGCAGAATCTTATAGGGCCTAAAGAATTTCGGTTTCAGCTTCTCATTTCGACGGCTTGTCACTGACTTCTGTCGGTATGGTCTATCCTTGAGGAACACCTTATCCCCGACAGCGTACTCCACATCCCCTCGATGTTTATCCGCCTACTTCTTCATTCGATCTTGAGCCATTTTCAGATGAGCCTTGAGCTTCTCGAGCACCAAGTCCCTTTCACTAAGTTGCTGATCAAGGGTGGCATTCGTGGTCTGCTGACTCCTGTACAAGACCAAGGGTGGGGGGTCTTCCATAAACCGCCTGAAAAGGTGTTGTGCCCAGAGAGCTATGGAATGTAGTGTTGTACCAGTGCTCTGCCCAAGCTAACCATCGACCCCACTGCTTCGGTTTCTCACTATAGAAACATCTCAGATAGGTTTCCAAACAATGAATCACAATCTCGGTTTGTCCATCCGTCTGTGGATGATAAGCCGTACTCCTTTTCAATGTGGTACCCTATAGACGGAAAAGCTCAGACCACTTAATAGCAAGGACCACTGCCATTAGCTCCCGTTCGTATACTGATTTAGCCTGATTCTGCAGTGATAGTGTGTGGCTAAAATAGGCAATTGGTCGCTGGTGTTGGGTGAGGACTGCCCCTAATCTTGTTCCAGACGCATCCGTTTCAATGACAAAAGGTATGCTGAAGAAGAGCCAATACTGGTAAGGTTACCATAGCGGTCTTTAACTTCTCAAAGGCTTCCGTCGCTACATGACCACTGGAAGCTATCCTTCTTAAGGAGTTTTGTCAAAGGAGCGACAATGGTACCATAATTGGCTACAAACTTTCGGTAGTTACAAGTCAACCCCAAAAATCCTCGAAGTTCTTTCACATTGTTTGGTATCGACCATTGCGGCATTGCCGCTACCTTAGAAAGGTGTTAAATTATAGTTTATTTTATTTTAAAGGTTTCCTGTTTTATTTAGGTTAGGGTTTTCTTGTTCTAATAGGTAAGTATTTCCTTATCCTAATAGGCAAGAATTTCTTTTTAGTTTCTTTTTGTGATTGCTATTTATAAAGTCTTGTATCAATCATTTGTAGCAATCAAGTGAGAATTATTTTTCCCTTGTCAAATTAACATGGTATCAGAGCCGTGAGGTTTTTTTGTTGATTGGCCTTCATCTCGACTATTTTCTTGTTCGCGGGTTTCTTTCCTGTTTGTGGGTTTCTTCCATCATTCAGTCGTCGTTGCCGTTGCTGTTCATACACTGTTGTCACCACCGTTCGAAGTCTGCATCGCTGTAGCTGTTCGATCACCTGTTTTTCGCCAAGGTCTTGTTCGCCGCCAGTTGTTCAGTCATCGGAGTCGTCGTCAGAAGCAGCCGTCGTCGGGTTCTGGATGTGCCGTTCGTGGTCATCGGATTTTCTGTGTTCGTGGGTGCTAGGTATTTCTCTCTCAAAGAGTGGCGGCTAGGGTTTCAAAAGAGAACTAAATATTACTTGGTTAGGTTCACCTTTTTTGGTTTGGTTCGGTTTTGCTCGATCCGGTTCGTATTGGTTTAGTTTCAGCCCGGTTTGATCTAATTTTGATTCGGTTCAGCCTTTTCTGGTCTGATTCTACTTGGTTTGGCCCGATTTTGCTTAGTTTGGTCTAGTTTTGCTTGTTTTTCCTAAAATCAAAGTCTAACAGGGAACTATTATGGAAGAAAATTATAAATCTTCCACGGGAGACCTACAATACATCCACCCTAGTTATAGGTTGGATGGAAAAAATTATTTAAAATGGTCTCAACTTGTTCAAACGTTCTTAAAAGGAAAAAGGAAAATTGAATCACATTACTGGGAAATGACCCAAACCAGAAGATCCAAAGTTCGATGTGTGGGATGAAGAAGATTCAATGATCATGTCTTGGTTATGAAATTCGATGACTCCGATTGTTAGTGATACATGTATGTTTCTTAAGACTGCAAAGGACATATGGGAAACAATGAAACAAACTTATTCCAAAGTAAAAGACGATGCACAAATATTTGATATCAAAACTCGTATCTTTGGAACAGAACAAAGTAATTGAACAGTGATAGAATATTCTACAATTCTTCAAAGCTTATGGCAAGAACTGGATCACTATCAATGTATTGACATGAAATATACTGAGGATGCTGCTACTCTAAAAAAATTTGTCGAAAAAGACCAAATTTATACTTTTTTTGCAGGTCTCAATGTAGAATTTGATGCTGTCCGAATACAAATTTTGGTCAAAGATCCCTCATCCCTAAATGAGGTTATTGGCATAATTAGAAGTGAAGAATCTCGTCATAGTATTATGCTAGAACCACAAACAGAAGGATCGGTCATGAAAATAGGAGGTACTAAAATGACTGAGGTAGAAAATAGTACACATACATGAGCTAACAATTGGGATGGTGGAAAATTAGGAAATAGAGACCGTGTAGTATGCACTTATTGCAAGAAACCTGGGAACACCAAGGATAAATGTTGGAAGCTACATGGAAAACCTGCAAACTATTAGAATTCAAATTCCAAGAATTGGTCGAATAAAGATAGTGCAAATAAAGGACATAGTCAAGCTCACATTTCATCAAGTCAGAAAGACGCTGTGACAGAAGAGAGTTTTGAAAAAACCAGAACTAAACACAGATAAGATTTGAAAAGCTAAGAAGTTTTTTGGAAACCTTAAAAAAAATCCTAATCAAGGTACATGTTCGGTAGCCTTTTCAGGTACAACTTCACACTCTAAACTCTCTACTTGGATTATTGACTCTGGTGCAACTGATCATATGACAAAGAGTAGCTGTCATTTTATCTCCTATAGTCCTTGTCCGAGCAATAAAAAAATATCTACCATAGATGGTACTCTATTAATCGTAGCTGGTCAAGGAGACGTCCAAATAAATTCAAACATTATCTTAAAAAATGTGCTCCATATACCCCGTTTAACTGTTGATTTAATATCAATAAGAAATTTGATCAAAGATTTGGGATGTAGAGTAACTCTTTTCTCTTCTTGTATTTTTCAGGACCAAGACAATGGGAAGACGATTGGACTTGCTAAAGAAAAATATGGACTTTATTATCTTGATGAACCTATTGGTCTAGATAGTGTTGGGAAAGATGTTCAAATCTTAGTTTCCTCACAAACTCATCCTTCTTTAAATAATTTTTGGTTGTATCATTATAGGTTAGGACATCCCTCATTTAGATCTCTTAAGATTTTATTTCCAGATCTGTTCCAGAATTTTAATTTTGATTCAATTCAGTGTGACATTTGTGAATTTGCTAAACACAAGCGTGTTCCATTTCCTAGCAATAATAAACGAATTTCAGTTCCTTTCTCTCTTACTCGTAGTGATGTTTGGGGCCCCTCCAACGTGCCAAATACTTCCAAATTTCGTTGGTTTATTGTATTCATTGATGACTGTACTAGGGTTTCATGGGTTTATCTTTTAAAACAAAAATCTGATGTTGGTTCTACCATTCAAACATTCTTCTATATGATCAAAAATCAATTTGGAATCCAATCCAAACGATTTCGTTCTGACAAGGCTCGAGATTACTTCAACCAAACCTTAACATCATTCTTTCAAAAACATGGAGTTATTCATGAGTCGTCTTGTGTGGAAACTCCTCAACAAAATGGGGTGGCCGAAAGAAGGATGTGACCTGTGCCCTTCTTTTTCAAAGAAACGTTCCTAAATTCTTCTGGGGGGAAGCTGTAGTAACAACCACTTACTTAATCAATCGGTTACCATCTGTTACTCTAGATCAAAAAACTCCCATGAATATCCTATCACAATTTTACCCTGACTTCCGCACAACAAATAACTTGATTCCTAGAGTATTTGGTTGTGTAGTTTTTGTTCACGTTCATAGTCGTCAACGAGGTAAACTTGATCCATGAGCACTCAAATGTATTTTCGTTGGATACTCGAACACTCAAAAGGGATATAAATGCTACCATCTTTCTTCTAAAAGGTATTTCATCTCTGCCGATGTTACATTTTATGAAGATAGCTTTTTTACTTCACCTTATCTTCAGGGGGAGGAAATATTGTTGGAAGATGAGAATTTACCTATTCCTAATCTCATTTTTCCTTCAAACTCTTTACCATCACCTCCAAACCCTACTGGAATTGACCCCAACCAACCTTCTTCATTTGTAGACAGATCATCAGAGTCATCTAACCCTCCTACTACTATGCCATTACAGGTTTATTCAAGAAGGAATACTGAAAAAGATAAGCAAGTCCAAGAGTTTGAACATATCTCTGGAACTGAAATTGACGAGGAAAATGTCAATAATAAGTTGACATTATAGTATCCACTAATGATGAATCAGATATGGATTTGCCTATTGCTTTGAGGAAGGGAAAACGAACTTGTACTCAATATCCATTATCTCACTTTGTATCCTATGACAAACTCTCAAGTCAGTATAGAAGTTTTATGGTAAATCTTACTCAGGTAAATATTCCAAAAACATATATGGAGGCAATACAACATGAAGAATGGAGACAAGCAATGAATCTTGAAATGCAGGCCTCAGAGAAAAATAGAACATGGGAGTTGGTTACTATGCCTAAAGATAAGAAAGCAGTAGGTTGTCGATGGGTATATATTGTGAAGTATAAAGTAGATGGAACACTTGAGAGGTATAAAGCACGTGTAGTGATATAGCCGTTAAAGGGGTTATTTGGTTAAAGACTGTTAGTTCTTATTGTTAGGTAGTTAGACACCAACGGATTAGTTTCTTTTATCTAGTGTACTAAGACTCCTACCTATAAATAGGAGTTCTTCTGTTCTTTAGAGGTAGACTTCAAGTTTAATAAAATTCCCTTTCAATTGGTTTACACCAATAGTAAAAAAGAAGACCTGTCTTTTTTCCTTAGTGTTGGACGAGATAGGACCTAATAGAGGAAAGAGCACGACCGTTTTGCCCATCCAAGAAAACTCATATGTATTCTCGCATCTCTTATGGATTGCTTGGATGTCATATTGCCATGGTCGGCTAAGAAGGATGTGACAAACGTCCATATCAATAACGTCACAGATGATTTGGTCCTTGTTGTTGTTTCCGATGGACAAAGGTATGGTGCAGATGCTAGTAACAGGGGCTTCTCCCCCTTTCTTGATCCAACTTATTTTGTATGGGTTAGGGTAGGGAGAAGTCTTAAGATTTAAGGCTGTTACTAATTTAGTAGACACCACATTTTCGGTACTCCCACTATCAATGATAACATTATAAACCTTGCCATTGACAGTGCAGCGTGTCCGAAACAAGGCATGGCGTTGGGGAAAACATTCAGTCTTGGGAGTGAGCAAAATTCTCTCAAGAATGCAAGAGAGTTGTTCCCCTTCATCTGGACCAAGAAGTAATCTATTTTCGTCGATGTCTTCGTCCAATTCTAGCACAATATCATTGTCATCCTCCATAAGATGGATAGCCTTTCTTTGCGGGCATTCATTAGATAGATGGCCCACTTGGCCACACCTAAAGCATTTTCCCATCGTTGGTCGGGCATAGGTATTGTAGAGTTTCTTGGTAGGGTCCCCCCCTTTTGTTTCGTCAGTACTCTTACCTTTAGAACTAGAGGCTGCGCCTTGACTTGGACTCTTGTCTGTAGGTGTTGTTCCTTTCTTGAAACCACCAGTACCAGCATTAGTAGGACGTCTTTGGTACTGATATTTAAAGCGATTGCCTAGTTGCTCTTCTATTGTGATGGTTGTGGCAATAGCTTCATCCATGAATCCAATAGGTTGAACTTGAATTCGTTCCTTAATGTCTGTCTGAAGGCCGCCCACAAATCTAGCAACTTGATACTGGTCATTTTCTCCTAAGTTTGTCCTTGCTCCCAATCTGTGGAACTCCTCGGTGTAGTCTGCAATGGTGCGGCTCCCTTGTCTACAATTTTGGTATTGGTTGTAAAGAACATGCTCATAGTTAATAGGGAGAAAACGAGCATGCATTAGTTTCCTCATTTTTTCCCAAGTGCGGATGGACAGCTTACCAAACCTTTGACGATTTGTTTCTAATTGCTCCCACCAAACGGAAGCCCCACCTTTGAGTTTTAAAGCCACAAGATCCACCTTCTTATGGGCAGGCGTATTCATATATCCAAAGAAGCTCTCTACATTCTTGACCCATTCAAGAAACCCTTCTATTTCAAGCTTGCCATCAAAAGTTGGGAGATCCACTTCCATTTTATATTCGTTAGGTTCATGATACCTTGGATTAAGTCGTCGGTTGCCCCTGCGATTCATGTCCCGTTCTAGAGTCATCATCTTCATTAGATGACTCCATGTGAACAGCCCGTCGCCGGTTGATCATATTTCAGCGCTGATGGTTGCCAAACCTACCAGGTTCTTGATAATGAAACGGGGCTGGGAAAGGATCTTGGAACATACCAATGTTATTTCGCGGAAGATCAAGCGCTGGATCATTTTGTTGCTGATTGCGCTGAGGGAAAGGGAGGGGTTCTTGATGTATTCTTGGAGCTGGTTGCCTTTCTTATGCACCAATCTTTATTCCTTTTCCATGGCCCTCTCTTGCAGAATCACTTCTTGGACAATCTTGGTTAAGTTGAAGTGAATCTAGCTTGTCCACTATTGTAAACAAAATCTGACGAATCTCAACCACATTCCTTTGGAGGCTTTCAACTGCCCCCTCAACCATCACCAAACGGGTGGTCGTGGTTTGTGGAGAGAGGACGGCGGTGTCTTCCGTCTCTTTCCTGATTGTAGAAGAATCCCCAACCGCTGGAATTATCTTCTTACCGGCCATTTCCTAAACGAGCCCAAGAATCTTGATGCTCTGATACCAATTTGGTGTAAACCAATTGAAAGGGAATTTTATTAAACTTGAAGTCTACCTCTAAAGAACAGAAGAACTCCTATTTATAGGTAAGAGTCTTAGTACACTAGAATAAAGAAACTAATCCGTTGGAGTCTAACTACCTAACCTGACTAACAATAAGAACTAACAGTTTTTAACCAAATAACCCCTTTAACGGCTACATCAGTTAGTGGCTAAAGGATACACTCAAATATATGAAGTTGATTATCTTGAAACATTTGCAACTGTTGCCAAGATGAACACAGTACGAATACTTTTATCTCTTGCTGTCAATCATGGATGAGACATGTTACAATATGACGTTGAGGACATGGTGTGTTTTGAGCAAGCAAGAAATAAAGTTTGTAAATTGAGAAAAACGTTGTATGGATTAAAACAATCTCTCAAGGCATGGTTTGGTAGATTTTCTCCGGTTATGAGAAAGATGGGCTATAATCAAAGCCATGGGTCGGATCGCAAAAGAGAGAAGGCAAAAGGAACCCTAATACCCACGTGAATGTTACTGAAGAAGATTGTGGAAAAAGAGCAAGTGGGCTGAGATTGAGTGGGCTAAAATTTAATTGTGTTACGGCCCATTCTCTTGCTGGAGCAGACTTTGAAATTATGAGATTGAGTGGGTTTTGGGCCGGGCTATCCTCTAGGCCTAACCCGAAAGCTAGCCCGAGTGGGCATCTTCTTACCACAGGCAGAACGTAGCCCTAGTCACCGCTGCCCTCAACCTCTGCTTCTTCGGCTGTGCACGTCACCGCTCACCCTCATTTGTCGCACACCGACACCATGGTATGGCTGTCGTTCGACCACCATCCGCCATCGGCTGCTTCGATGGGCATCCACGCTGCCTACACTACCTCGATCTGCCATTGCCGACAGCCAGCGCCATCCCACCGCTCACGTCTTTACCGTCATCAATCACACACCACCGGCCACCGACCTCCCACAGATGTTCCACTATAGCAGTCGATCCGACTGGGGTTTCTCTTATTGCTGTTGAAGGCTAGGTTTTAATTTCTTTTGGTTATGTCTTGAATAAAAGGAAAAAAAATTAGTTTAACCATACCTCGAGGACATGGTGTGTTTTGAGGGCGGGGTAATGATAGGTTTGCTATTATGATAGGTTAGGGATATTGTTAGGGTATTAAGGGTATATTGGTAATTGGGTTTGGAAGCTTTAGTTATAAATAGAGGGAGAGGGAAATGGTGAAGGTATCCAATTAGTGAGAATGGTTTTGGCTTGAGTGATATCTCAAGAGGGGAGGGTCCAAGTATGTCGAATTACTTGGTAGTTATTGCAGTTCGTTTATCTTTTATCTTTCAATATATTTCGGGTTCTATCGTGGGATAATTGAAATGAGATGTTGAGATGCAAATGAAAATATCAAACTTTTGCTCATTATACTAAGGCACCTGATATTGAGAAAGAGAATCTTCTGAACTAAAATTATTTTCTGTTGTTTATTCTCTACATTTCTGTTCCAGTAAAATAATTGGTTAAACTTCCTAGATTGAGTTTAGTTAAAGGTTACTTATGTGCACTTAATTTCATGCTTCCATTTTGCAGGGTTATCTTGATCCAGAGTACTTCTTGACTCATAAATTGACAGATAAGAGTGATGTTTATAGTCTTGGTGTTGTGTTAATGGAGCTTTTGACTGGGAGGCACCCAATCTCACATGGCAAGAACATCGTCAGAGAGGTATCAGAATGACATCCGTTATGGACTGGAAACCTAAACCTTTGAGACAAATTTATCTCCAAGTGCATAATCATGAATGCGATATGAGTAGTAAAGGATATGATATCATGTTTTCCATATTTGTTTATTTTGTGTTTTCTTTTCTTGGGGATGTTCAAGGGATTATAGTATCTCTTCTAATATTTGAATTGTCTTTAACAGGTTAAGGTTGGATATCAGTCCGGAAAGATTTTCTCAATAATTGATGGACGATTGGGCTCATATCCCGTTGAATGCGTGGAAAGGTTTGTGACATTGGCTCTTAAGTGTTGCCAAGACGACCCCGATGCACGCCCTTCAATGGCAGAAGTTGTTCGAACACTTGAAAGTATCTGGCTTATGCTGCCAGAGTCTGATGCGAAAATTGGGGAGCCTTTGATCGCCGATGTGATAAAAGTGACTAGTCCTCCGTCTTCATCATCCAACATGAACAATTTTTACATATCAGAAGTCTCTGGCAGCAACCTTGTAAGTGGAGTAATTCCCACCATCACACCCAGGTAGAAAACTTGGAAATCCTACTATTTTAACATTGTCTGTATGTCGCCTACATCATTCTTGTACAGTCTCTATTTACACCCAATAACAAGCTCAATCTCAGTTTGTATATAGTTTTGCAGACATGATCGTTGTATTTCTCAACAGTCGGCCGAGTACGTCTAGTCTAGATAGGCCCTTTTTTTCTTTTTTAGAGGAAAACAGTGTGGGGTTGGGGTTAAGTCATATGTATAATACCTTAATTAATTTAGCTATTCAGTTTGTTTTAGGAGATTGTTTTTTCTTATTTTTTATTAGTCAAAAGTTTTGAAAATCTTAAAGTAGTTCCTGGTCACCAACAAACACATTTGGTAAATTAAAATAAAATAAAAAACTCTAAAGCTGATTTTATTTATAAAAAGAAAAAAGTATGAAACGGCTTTTAAAAGGAGAAACTCAAATCAAATATAGAAAAAAAAATGTTAAATTTTTTAAGTTTTCAAATTATGTTAATTTTAGAATAAAATAAAATTCCAAATAAATATACAATAATAAAAATTGAATAAAAATAGCCCAAAAAAAGATTTACCCTGAACTTGGTAAGATCAACTTTTACCCTGAACTTTAAATTTTATCAAATTGTATATTAAATTTGGACAAGTGTTTCAATATTTACTTGAACTTTAAAAACTGTTAGAAGTTTTTACTCTGATAATTTTTCATTAGAAAATTTATTGAAAATTATCGATCAAATTATTTTTATATGTATCAACTTAATTACAAAACATATAATTGTTATGAAATTGATAGAATTCAAATAACAATGATACTAGAGTTGATTTTTTTTTTTGAAATTTGTAAGTTTCAACAGAAATGACCTCTTTTGTATATAATCAGACTTTGAGAAAAACGTGATTTTTATTAAATTTATGAGTTTTTTTTTCTGGATTTTATTATTATTATTTTTTACGTTGTTCTTGTTTAAATTAATAGTTGAATTAGCAAAAATATTGAGTAGATGATAAAAATTGCTACACTTATCTAAATAGGTTCAATTTGTTGAAATTTGATACAATTTAACTGGTTGATGAAAAAAAAAGTATTTTTTCTAGATTTATTTGTTATGAATATTAAAATTAAGTGATATTGAAAATTATCACTGTGTATGATATTCGTTTGTTTAGTATAAATACTAAAAATTATCACAAAACAAATCTAAAAATTATGACTTCTATACATAATTTGATATTAGTTGGTTCAAAATAAAATATGATTGAATAATCTATATAAATATATAAAAAATGATATAATTTAAAATATTTAGTCAAGATCTTTTAATAAAATTAAATTTCATTTGATATAAATAGTATTTTTTAGCGGGTTGATATAAATGATTGGAGGAAGAAACTAAAACTAAAACAAAAACTATAACACTTATATATTTATAGTTATTTTGTATATTTATCATAAAAGAATTTGAAGTCCTTAAAGTAAATATGTTTTGCAATATCTTTGAGATTAAAAAACTTTTTCTTGGCTCTCCAGGACTCTCTTGCCGTCCAAAATCGTTATCTCTCTTGGTTTTTCATCCCCTCTGGCATGCAAGATAAAATTCTATTTTATATAAATTTATGCATTAATGGCTTGGCGTTTATTAAGAAGCATCAAGTCTTTGGCTATGTGATAATCTGGCAAAGCATTGTGGCACTATATATTAGCACCAAGTATTGTAGGTGAGTCGATCTGCAGGCGTAAAGGCGTTGATGAGCTACACGACCAAGGTGTTGTCAATAAATAAGACAATAATTAAGAAGATTTTAAGGAACCAAAATTGCAGATAAAAAATAACATTTTAAAAGTATTTGGTCTAAAATAAATAAAGACGAAAGTACATAGACAAAAAGAATATTTTAACCTTAAAATTCAAAGTCCATATTAAATGATTTTAATTAGATAAATTACTTTTTTTAACAAATGAAAATGTATTATAAATAATATAAAAAAAGTAAAAAAGTACAACGTGCATTGAACGTTTCTACTAAAAGATCAAATATTTGTAAATGATAATTTAAAGAAAACATTAAATTTAATATTCACAAGCGAATCAGTTAAAGAAAAAAAAAAGCCCTAAAGTTTCCTCTTTCCACGTCTTCCTGTATCCACATCCACAAGCTTCAGTGATGAAGTCGGCAATGAAACAGACACACCAACGGATTCTGGTATATCAAGATTAACTCCCAGGGAGGGGCCACCTATTGCACGCTTGATGTCAACCTCCTTGAGTTGCTGAATTTCAAGCCGTACTTTGTCAATCTAAATACACCACAACGATAGGGGAAACACAATAAATAGGAAGAAATATCTGTAGCCAATCATCAAAACAACAGAGCAACATGAATGTCTTACTAATTCGATGTGATGAATGGATGAATGCGCATCGGCCAGTCTCTTTTGCAGATCATCTGCCTTTTTACTTTGATATTCCGCATTCTCCATCTCATTTCCTTTTTCACCCAATTCTTGGTATAAAGCTATACATAATACATATGATACATATATAATAAATCACTTTATTTCAATATGGAGGTAAAAAGGAGGTTATGAAACAGTTGCTACCAGCATGTGTTATTCATTCTCGCTATCAAAATATTATTGCACTATGATGTTATAGTAATTAGGAAGGATGTATATCATATACATACTTGTTAAAACTGAAAGTACCCATATCTGAGTAGGGATGTCATAGAGTTTCTTTGCCAATGTTAAAGATGATCTCAATATCTCTCTGGCCTGCACAGTGTCATGTAGAGCAAGTGCCAAACTCCCAAGGATTGTCAAATATTGTGCAACAAGTTGAAGATTCCCCAAATGATTATGGGTCAATTGCAATCCTTTCGCCAATCGATTTCTGTGGAACAGGAGCGGAAAAAAAAAACACCGTTGGCTGACTGAGAACATGCTTCTCTCCCAACATCAATGACATAACAAATAGGTAAATATGAGGTCTCAATCAATACCAATGGATTGATTCCTGTGAATCCAGTGAAAATTATCAATTGTGGAAATACTGGACGTGAGGCTGGTTTAAATTTTTAAGATAGTGACGGATAGTTATAGTTGGCCTATTATGAGCCATAGAAAAATATTATGACTTCTTTTGATCTGGTGCCATAGCCATTGTCGATAGAAACTAAGCTCTTATGGTTTAAATGGATTAGAGATATTCTAAATGGTTGGAATTTACAATATTTTGGCCTCCTTCATGACTGAAAAAGCCTTCCTCATTACTTTTGACTTGAGATTACTACTTTGAAAGTCATTGGGGTCAATAATGATATTTGGAATTCCAAAAGAATTTTCTTTATTGCAAGGTATCTGCATGATCTCCCTTTCTGGAATTAGTTGACCGTCCTTCGGAGCATTTGCAACATCCAACCTAAACTCATTAAACCCCTCATTAATTCCTACTTCTCCAACCTCAATTGAAGTATGCGAATCTTGGGAAACTTCCTCTTCAAAAGAATTGTATAAAAGTGTAGTTTGAGACTTTTCAACTTCAAAGCTTGACTCTTCATCTTCAATCACCATTTTGATGCGATTGACATCCAAGGTATTGGAAAAATTCCTAAGATTGAGAATGGTGTTTTCTTCCTTGGGAGTTTCCAAATTGCAACAATCTTTTACTCTTACAAAAACACTTCCCAAACGAGGGTCTTTTATTTCAATTTTAGCAGGGAGAAAACCAAATAAATTCTTCTTCACCTCTATACGGATCGATTCACAATTCAGCATATTCAAAGTCTGAGAGGAACAACTAACCAAGCCACCAAAATGACTTCCAAGAGCTTCTAAGCAACTACGATTCCAGTAACTTAAAGGTAAGTTCAAAATATCAATCCAACCACCATAGCCCATCACAAACTCAGCTTTCACATGAAAGATACCAATTTTTCCATTTTCCTTTTAACTCCCAGATTTTTTAGGACCCTCCCATCCTCCATTTTTAATAGGGCCTTATCTGCCATAAAAGGATCAACAAAACAATCAACTTCAAAGTGGTTTTTCAAAGCAGTAGCTATCTCCTTCCAATTATCATGAGCGACCACATCCCTTTCTTTTTTAACCCGAAAGCTCTTATCATCATCTTTTTGGATTGAGGGAGCAAAAACACCTACCAATTCAGGCGACTTTTGAGAACTCTCCAAGGCTATAGAAAAATCAGCCTTATTTAGTGAAAGAGAGATAGAATCCTTAATCATTTCCCAGAAGACTAGCCACCCACTTTTCTTTTGTCCAACAGGGACCACTATTCTTCCTCTCCTGCCTGATTTACGGATCAAAATGCCATCAAAGCTACAACCTTGCTTGTTAAAACTCTTCACAAGTTGCAAATTCCGAACTCTCCTTTGACTTGTCTAAAAAAATTAGCTCTCACCGGACATTGCATCAAATCCACAATAGCCTCTTCAAGCCAAATAAGCTGCTTCTAGTGGAATGAAATATAAAACTGTCGATTATCAAAAAACTCTTCCAACTTGAAAAAATCGTTCGACAAAGAATGGATGAAGAAAGACTTGTTTGCAACTTGACAACTCCTTGAATCCATGGTGAAGAAGAACTTACTGCAAACTAAAACTCAAAGATTTCACCGCGAAAGCAAACCAATGAAGAAAACGTCTAGACTGAAACGACCCAACAAGCTTGCTTCATCTGTCGTAGGAGAGGGGGAAGTGAGAGGAGAGAGGAGAAAGCATACTTACCCTCATTATTTGTTTTTTTTTTCTTTTAGTAAGAATTAGAAATCGATAGTCTATATAAAGTACTCATTATGCATATTTGAATATATCATAATATTTAAATATTCTTTCTTGATGACCAATGATCAATGCTATAGGCTATGGCGGACGGGTTGCCCAAAAAGGGTTAATATCCTTTCTTGGATTCTTATTAATGGAGAAGTCAACACAGCAGAAGTTCTTCAAAAAAAAGTCACCACATATGCATTTGCAACCATCCATTTGTGTGCTGTGTGTCACGGTCGTACATTTTTCAACCACGCGGCACCATGATCTAAGCTCGACCATGGCCAGCCTTACGAGGAACTCTAGCCCCAATCTACTTTTCGCGCCCTTTGTGGCTTCGTCGGACCTTAGACGAGGTTCTTTCTTCCTCGACTCAGCTTCATTTTGCTTTTCCAACCATCTTGGCTCTCGACCACTCGACCGTCCCGCTCCTACTATGAGCCAGGACCTTATCGGGATGAGTTCTGACCTATAACGGGGTCAGAAC